ATTGAAAAGTAATATTTTTAATAGTAAAAAAGCTACCCATCTTTTACAACAAGACGGTGCAATCGAATTGATCAATTTACAGCCCATTCAATTTGGTCAATTCATGGGTTTGTGCAGGAATAATGATTACTTGGTCATATTTGTATGTCTATATATGAAGTCAATCCACATGTGTATTTGAAAGATTTTTTTACTAATACATTTTTGGTAATTAATTTTTTTGTAGAAATTCATATCATGTCTATATAGTAATAAATATTTTTAATGTTCTATTATAAATTATAATTGATAATTAATCATATTGTTGCTCCTAAATTAACACAATACTATAATTAATATTTCAAAAGAATATTAACATTTCAATATTCCAACATTGACGTATTGCTTTTGAAAAAACAATAATTAAAGGTAATGCTGTTGCAAAAATGGAGCAATTTTCCTTAAAACGTGCCCAGCTGAGGTTGCAGCAAACATTGCAGCGACTGAAGTCCTAAATTTTTCGGAATGTACAGTTTAGTCCCTACTTATCTGAAATTGGCATTTTTGGTCCCTGAATTTCAAACACGCATAACTTTTGATACAGAACTTCGAGCTTCAAAATTTAATTATATTTTCAATAATATATTATTTTCTCTGAAGAGATCTTTGTACCAAAATTTGTGCACTAACTTTCTCAAATGCTTCGAATGTAGGTTCTTTGTTTCGCATCTTTTGGTATTTTTATGTCCCAATTTCTTTTTTTTTGCATCAATGATCTTCAAATTTGGAATTTAACTTACAAAAACAAAATATACTAATATGAGTAAAAAATGCGTTCAAATAATCAAATACAATGTATATTTAAGAATCTAAAAGCCTGTTTGAGTCACATTATGATGAGAATGAGAATGAGAAATAGAATCGTTATGAGTCCCACACTAGAGATAGAAATTCAAAAATGGTGGCTTGATGTGATGGATAACGGTCATATTTTTCATTTTAATGAGGTAAAAATATGGCTCAAACGGGGGCTAAATAAGCATATAAAATACGTTATCTGTAATCATTTTCTTGTAGTAATTTTATTATTTTGAATACCCTTCTACGAGCATATTTGATTGTGCTTCTTTCTATAAATGAAGCCAACAAGTGCCTTCTCCCAATTTTAAAATAATGTAACAAGAATCTCAATCGAACAATAGCTGTGGAAAAATAAAAAGAAAAAATAATAGTGGACATGCTATCGCATCTTTGTTGGAGGCATTTTTGTAACTTGAAAATGTAGAAATCATGCGGTGGCCGAATCAAGTGCAGAAGTTGAATTTCAATCTATGACTCAAAGGAGTGTGAGTTTCTAGCTTTAATGATTATTCTAAAAGAACTATAATGGCACAAGTAAAAAGTCCTATAAAATTGTTCATTAACAAGAAAGCAATTAGCTCACAACCTTTGTATATAACAATCGAAATAAACATGGTTGACCGATATTTCATCGAAGAAAAACTTAAAACATGGCTAACAAGATTTTATGCACCATTTGTCACTACAAAGATTAAGTTAGCTAGTTGATGTTTTAATAGCCTCCGTTATGAAAAAAACGAGGATAGACAATATAAAAATAATAACAAGAATACAATTTACGTTCAGGATGGGAAAAAAAATCACGAGATAACCGCTATCCTCACAAACCTCATTTTTTTCTCATAATTTTAGCTTCACCACTGAGCTTTTGGGTCGAGTGAAACAAAATTCAGGTTACCATAGTGTAACAACCTCATATGTCACACAATTATTGAAAATGGGAATGCTTGACACCAACTCCTCACTTCGAAAGATAGTGTTGGAATTTACTACGATAATCTTGAAAATATCTCCCTACTAACAAGGCGGTGTTTAAAGTATTCTAGCAATTATTATCTCCCTAAATTAGCTTAGTACAGTTATAATTTATTATTTTAATTACTCCTTTCTTAAAATAGTTTCCAAACGTACGTAATAGGTGTACACTTCAACTACGTCTTTCTTGTTCAAATCAATTCATTCCGATTTAGAGAAAGTCAGTTACTTTCCAACTACATAATTGAGCAAGGTGAATAAGCTCTCCACATTTGAAAAATGATTATTCATTCGATTTGATACAAATGTTCAACTAAATTTAGTTGGAAAGTCGACCTTAATAAATGTAGGTCTTTAATTTTAGCTTAATAATCAACAAAATTGAACAAGGCAGCAAATGAGGACTTTTAATGTCTTTTGGTACGTGCACCATTATACACAGAACTGTTAGCTTTGTGTTTGGTCAATTGTGCAGCTGGCACACTTGCCAAAGTTTTGTCCTCAACAAGATATGGTTGACTATTTGACTTAATTGTGCAAGTTAGGAGTCTGTTTTGGAGTGATTTTGAGAATTAATTTTTTGATTGTTAGAAGAAAAATGAGGTTCATCTGTGAAAGAAGAAGTCAAATATGACGGTTGGAATAGTGAAATAACGATCAAAAAATCAATTTTTTGGGTGAAAAAATCGCTCCCAAACAGACCCTACATGTTTCACATTTTTATTTTATTCTTTATCTTTATATTTAGATAGACACGTAGACCCACATATTTGATGTATGTCATCAACTGTATTTGTCTACAAACTATATTTGTCTATTGATTAAGCCTTGGGTGATAATCATTCTTTCAAATTTTTTTTCGTATCCATGTTCAACGTTACATTCTCATAATAAAATATTTTTCACGTAAATTTAAAACTTTTTCCTACTTTTAATCATACATTCTCCAAAAAATTATTATTAAAAAACTCTTTCTTTACAAAAAGGACTGTCAAACAAGGGCCAAATATTCTTATGCATTTTGGATTTTACACTCAGTCGCAATTTTTCTTACACGTGTTATATTACTTTCAATTGATTCGGTAAGCTACATGCTCGGTGAATAGAGAATTGCCTTCGGTCTCCAAAATTCACTTACCCATGGCACAGCGCCCATTCGCTTCGCTGAGGGAAAGCAAAAAAGTTCAGTTCATGAGACCGCAGTGGAGTGGAGCGGCTACGACGCTACCTTACCTTAGCCGGATCTCGCTGGTGCCTACCATACTTAAGCATGCCTATTGGTGATTTTTATAAGCATCGCTATCGCCTATTAAGTTCCCGTGACTTAACACCATTTCCATGGTAAGTTTGGGTCCATAACCATGGATTCTAATGCACGAGATCTTATTACACTTATCAATGAGGCCCTATCGATTAGTATTATACAGAAGAAATCAATTAGAAAATTCTATTTAAATTAGTGCAAATCTTGTATTTTTTTTAATCGACTTCTTTCAAAAGAGGTAAGATCTGAAGAATTGAAAACAAATCATTCTTTGTCTCCTCTTTTTTCAATTTTTCCCCAAACTTATATTTAATTACACATTCACACAATAAATTTTTTTTACCTAAATCTAAATTTTTTTTAAAAAAATTTTTAATTACACATTTTCCCAAAAATCATTATTCCCCCACCCAAAAACTTTTTTAAAAAGGAGATAAACTTTGGGTTAATACGTGGAATTTAGGCACATATTGTAACAAAGAAAATAACCTTGTTTTTGAGTGACAAATTAAGTGAAAACTAATTAATTTGAGAAAGAGTTAAGTAGCACTAATTAATTTGAGAAAGAGTTAAGTACCATTCATTGTTAAGTTGAGCGATTGTTTGACAAAGCTCTTAGGGCCTGTTTGGGAGCGATTTTTTGTTCTAAAAAATTGATTTTTTGACCGTTATTTCACTATTTCAGCCATCATATTTGACTTCTTCTCTCACAGGTGGACCCCACTTTTATCTTAACAGTCAAAAATTCAATTATCAAAATCACTCCCAAATTGGCTCTTAATAAATGTTGATAAAATGTATGTTTAAAAAATTAATAAAAGTTATGAATCTCATAAAATGTGCTTTTAAAATTCAACTTTAACTAAACGAAAAGTTGTTAAAATATTAGAAATATCAAACAAGCATTAGCAGTAGCCACACATCGCGGCAAAGGAAAAATAGAGATTTTTACCTGACTTGATTCAAACTGTAACTACTTCTCCTCCTCCTTTTTTTTCCCCCTTTCAGTATCTCACCGGTGTCATTAAACCTCTATTTGACTTAGTTAAAAATTAGGTTTTTAATAAATATTGATAATATTTGGTGAACTATATGGTTCAAAACTTATAAATTTTAAAAATGTGTAATTCAAAATGAATTTGAGTAAATATTTATTTTAAAAAATGGGTCCAACCATGTATTTATTGTCTAGTATTCTAAAAATTCATCATTATCAATATCACCGATTTCCAAAGCTTCTGTAGCCTGCATCTCTTGCATATGCATTTTTCAATATTTTATAACTCGCATTTATGCCAACATCTTGCTCCCATATATTCGTATTTATTTTGCTCTAATCTCGTTTTTAATCAACTTTATCTCAATAAAATAATTTGCATGTGGATACATTATTTTCCTACCTTTTAATCACATTTTTTTTATTGAAAAAAACACTTATCGTAAAATTTATTTTAAAAAATCGGGACTTCTATTTTTTTTTTAATGACTGGGGAACTAGCAGCGGCTATCTTTTGGGTGCATATTAGGTAACCCTCGGACTGACACAATGGCATGTAAATTACGCCAGTCAGGCAAATCGCATTAGACAAGCCTCGTGCAATAAGCTCGATCGAAAAAGTGTTGGTAAGTGAAATCGAACACGTCACCCTTTATTTTTATCTTTTGAATTAGTACTAGCGGTGCACTGTTCACATGTGAAACCTGATCACTTGAAAGGTCACAGATTGAACGAGTTTTCTTCATGTGCTATTATTGCGGTGTGAAAAGGACAATTATTTAAATAATAATTGATACCTACCTAGTTCTGGAAGGTCAGAAAAGCTGGCAATCTAATGATAGGAGAGTCGGCAACCGATGCCTCGATGAACGGCTTAAGTAGTATAAAGATTTTAAGGTAGCAAAATTATTTGTCGAGTAAGTTTCGATTCGCATGAAAGATGTAATAATTTGGACATTGTCTTGAAGAGAGGTTTGATAAAATAGACATATTCTTGAAGAGGTGGACTATTTATATCTGCACAAACGACCCTACGAAGCTTCATCGTTCCTTGGGAACTCTATCTTGACTCCCCATTTAACTCTAGTCACATGTTCTTGACCTTTTACCTTCCGTGAGTCGGTGTTAAATTTTCACGTACCAATATATAAAGAGGGCATATGACAATTCACATGTCAATTCCATAACACGCATTCTATTGAAAGAGAGAGAGAAAGATGGAAGGAATTGTGCACAAGATAGTGAACTTGAACGGCATAAACATGCACGTAGCTGAAAAAGGTAAGGGCCCAGTGGTATTATTCCTCCATGGCTTCCCCGAGCTTTGGTACACATGGCGCCACCAAATCCTGGCCTTCGCCGCCTTAGGTTACCGGGCCGTCGCACCGGACCTCCGTGGCTTCGGCGACACCGATGCTCCTTCATCCATCACCAGCTATACCTGCCTCCATGTGGTGGGTGATATTGTGGCGCTCATAGGGTCTCTCGGCGTTAATCAAGTGTTCTTGGTGGCGCACGACTGGGGTGCCATGGTTGGCTGGTATTTGTGCTTGTTTCGACCCGATTTGATCAAGGCATTCGTCTCTTTAGCTGTGCCCTTCCGGCCGAGACATCCCACATTGAAGCCTACCGAGGGCATGCTAGCTTTCTTTGGTGATGAATACTACATGTGCAGATTCCAGGTTTTTCCTCTATTTATTCGGACATGCGCGGTGAAAATAAGTTACCACCCTTAGTTTACTTTCAAAATAGGTAACTTATAAGTAAAAACATTTGAAAGTTACCTGGACATGATCATTCATTGCTTTGCAGTTCGAATCAGGACTCTACAGCTAACTAGCTAGCTAGCAGTATTGCCCATGTGATTTGTTTAATTTCGGATCTGCAACATGGATGAAGTCCATGCAGTATACCAACGGTCCAACCCCATTTCATTATGATTCAATTCCTTTACCACCTAATGCCTGCAGTGAATTAAGCTTATGTATGGTTCCTATTTTTTTCTCATTAAAATGAAAAATATGATCGTTATTCATCACATCAAGCCATCAAATTTGAATTTCTATCTTTTATGTGAAATCAGTAATGACTATATTTTTTATTTTCATTCTTCAAAAAATGAGAAAAAACGGGGGCTAAATAAATCGTGCAATTTCAAACCTGTTCTATACTTACCTAATCAATTCGAATTGCAAAAAAGAGTACTTATTCTCAAATTCTTGTCCATTTTGATTAAATTTTTTGCTTATGTTGTAAATTTGCAGGAGCCTGGAAAGATGGAATCAGAAATAGCTGAATATGGAGCTGCACCAGTGATCAAGAAGATCCTTACCGGTCGGAAACCCGGTCCTCCCATCTTACCCAAACAAAATCCGTTCGGAAATCTCCGTGATATAGATAATATCAAATTACCCACTTGGTTTTCGGAAGAAGACCTCAAATATTATGCTAGTAAATATAACCACAATGGCTTCGGCGGAGGATTGAACTATTACCGTGCACTTGATCTGTATGCACTAATTTCATATGGCATGTTTGGTACGAAGGACTAATAGCTCTCCACAGCACTACTCGTGTCGACTACAATGTTCATTATACTATTTAGATTTGATCTCCTCCCTTTGGCCCTCTGTAGGCAGGATAAAAACTTCTCATTATTGATGTGATGCAGAGCCCCGTAAGTATGATTCTCCAAATGTAAAAATGTTGCAGATAACTTTAAGGTTCTGCCGCTGCGTCAGCAATGGGAAGTTTTTATCAAAAAAAAAAAGGTTGAACCCCAACCTTAGGGGCCCCTACCGACCCTGCCCTGAGTCATTGTAGAGGAGGTTTTTATCCCGTCCATTGTGGGTAGAGTCAGGTCTGTTATACTATTTAGTCTTGAGTACTACGTACCAAACATGCACGAATCAAAATGTGTTTGTTTGCTTTAGCAGACATTGAAGTTCATATTTTTAACTGATGCAGAAATTGGGAACTAACTGCAGCATGGACAGGAGTACAGATAAAAATTCCTGTTAAACTCATTGTGGGGGATCTGGATATGGTGTACACTACTCCAGGGATGAAGGAATATGTACATGGAGGTGGGTTCAAAAATGATGTGCCATTATTAAAGGAATGCGTCGTGATTCAAGGAGCCGGTCACTTCATCAACCAAGAGAGAGCCGAGGAAGTTAACGATCACATCCATGATTTCATCAAGGAATTTTAAACCGTTTGATCATTTTGCAATGCTAGCTTGCTAGATGCTTTTCTTTATTATGGTGTGAATAATTTGGCAGAAAATCTATGAAATAATTTAGTGTTTGATCGATGCTTAGGCTTGACGAGTGTATTAGTATATGATGTTCTTCAACTTCCAGAGCTCGAATAATTTCTGGCGAATTCGCAATTCACAGAGTTAATTAGAGAAAAATGTACGAGTAAGAACAATAAAGAAATTTGCATAGTACATGGATCAAAATTAGAACATTCTGATTGATAAGAGAATGAGGTCTCAATCAAGTTGTGTAAATATACTTTATCCAGCCCTAGTAGTTACTTCAATAGAGATAATTTTAAAAATTATGTGACTCATGTCTTCCAGTAATGAACCTTAATCAAGTTCAAAGAAAAGGGTAAATGGTTCATGGTTTAATAATAAAATGAATTATTTAATGTTATCTTATGGTTACAAAATAAACGAACTTTATATGAATATGAGATAAATTAAATAGATGTTGTAAAGAATTTCTCACACATTAATTTAATCTTATCTCTCATTTAATGAAAGCATGTGAGAAGAACAAGTCCGCTCTCCATCCAATAACATGTATACTAATTCCATCATTATAACATAGAATAAAGTGAGGGTAATGGAGAGAAATGTGTTCTTGCACAATTTCTTTCCAATCACTGTCTCATGAAATTTTAGAGAATATTGGAGAACAAATGTAAGTTTCCCTTGCTATAATTTAATATGTGAATACTATAATGCTCTAAAGATTCGAATTTATTATTGTGTACGTTATAGGTGTAAATTAAAGAAGAAGAAGAGAGAGAGAGAACTCTTATAACGACTAAACGTGTTTCAAAATTCTAGTATCTTCGAAGTAGACTTTAAAAGCAACTCATGTAGAAGGTTAGGGCTTATCTCGTGTCGTTACTATGACGATCGAATCATATTATTGTTAGTGATACAAAAATGTATATATTATGTTGTGAAGATAAAAGAAAAAGAAATAATACTTGTTTTACCTTTTAATAGTGGACAATTACGTGAAATGACTAAGTCCATTTTTGTTTTGGATTAAAATTAAATTAAAATTTCAAATTAAAGTCAACGAATAATTTTAATTATACATTTCATGGAATCCACATAGTGATGGCAACGGGGCGGGTTCGGGGCGGGGCACCCCCACCCCGCCCCGTGCCCCACCCGGCCTTAGACGGGACGGGGACGGAACAACTTTTTGCCACGTTTAATTTTTTAATTTTTAATTTTTATTTTTTCACATTTTGAAAGTTTCGAATTATACTATTATTAGAGAATAAAATACAAATTTAAAATAAGTTTTTAACGGATGAATTGTTTAGAAATAAAATTATTTTTAATTTTTTTTCTTCACGGGACGGGTTTGGGGCGGGGCATCCTCTCCCCGCCCCACGGGGGCAGGGCAAATTGCTATTACTAAATCCACAACTTTTTAACTACACATTTCAACAACTTTTATTAAAATCTTATTTTGATCTACACCAACCAGGGTCTAAAGATCGTGTCAAGGGATATGGATGTGATAGTTTTGTTATTAATTTGGAGGTTTTTGTTTGTCATTATCAAGTTAGATAACGACTACTCCCTTTATAAATAGTTATTGAGTATCAAGTTCTTTTAAAGAAATGGTTGTCATGTCTCTAAAGTTGAGAAATTCAACCCCTTCGTCCCTTCTTGGTCGAATTTCAGCACTTATACATAATCTACACTACCACGTAGGTCAATCAACTCATAAGATGTATATATCTAATATCAACAATCAAGTAGTATCTCTAAAGTGTCTCGATAGCTATATAAATTAACGAGAATCAGGAGAAGATAAAAAAAGGACCTTTAGATCATGAAATTTGCTCAAGAAAAACCAAATGTTTTTGGAGGTCTCAATCTCGAGTATTAATTATGTTACTAAAATTTAGGGCTCATATTCAGGGTTTCCAACAAAAATTTGATGCGAAAAATCCATACTTCTTAAAAACTTAAACGTATTTAATAATATATCACAATATTTTCATTTAAACCCCTAAACTATGAATGAATTTCTTTTGTTGCAACATATGAAATATAGTTACCTAACAGTAATGTTTGGAACATATATATCATTCAATGAATACTTGGAAAAAAAAATTCAAAATTTCATTGTTTACCAAACCAAAACAAATGTTGCAATATGAAGTTTAAAGTTTTAAACAAGTGATCAACATGCATTATCAATAAAATTAAAATATTAGAGTATGAATTGCACGTTGCAACATGATAGTTTATAAAATAAATTACTGTAACATCAAAAAGTTAATCAATTTGTTACAACATCAAATAGTTATAAAACAAAACATGAAATAATTTTTTAAAAACAAAATTATTGAATTATGTAACCACAGTTCCATTTTAAACACGACATTTTCAACACATCAAAAAGGACATAAAGAAGTATATGTCAATAGAATTTTGCAACGTAGTATAAGATTTATGTTACAATTTGAAGAAACAAAATATATTGTTTAACAGAACGTTGTAACTCATGATGGGTGAATAAAATATTATTACAAGCTAAATCAGAATATATAGTACGAACGATTTGTTGTGGCACAAAGTCAACAAAATATATTTGTAAACCATAATCTCTTCAAAATACAGTATGTTGCAATACATACATATGTTTTTCAAACATAATTGGTTCATAAAGCCAACATGTTGCAACATTCCCTTGTTTATTTATTTATTTATTATTAAATTGTAAAATTTAAGACATAACTCTTTGGTATTTTACAAATTACTAGTCTATGCTATGTGCGATGCACGAGCTGTGCATGAATTATGGTTTGGTTAGTGTATGTATTGAATATGTTTGAAAATATATGGGAAGATGGAATTATTGGCAAGGAACTAACCAGTTATACGAGTCGATCACTCGTATTTCTTCCGCAAAATGTCATTTTTTTACCAAAAATTGCAGAATCAATAAAATTCATTAATAATGAGAATTCAAGCCATAGTTAGTCAAAGAAATACTCCACTGAACAGTAAAAGCATTCCAAACAAAAAAGCTAGCATCATAGCAGTACATCCTTCAACAAATTATAATAGATATAAATGTATTATTGTGCAGTAAATAAATAATTCAAGGTAAAGCAGAAGTTAGAACTTGAAAATCCCAAAAGTCTAAAACAGTAGGTATCCCAAGATCCCGTGGCCCAGGGATGAGTTCCTCTCTCTTTCTTTCTTTAAGCCTCCGTTATTATGGAGGTCATTATGATTTATTATGGAGGCTATGGAGGCCTCCATAATAACGGAGGCATTTAGCCCAAAAATGTTGAGCCTCCGTTTTGAGCCAAATGCCTTCATAATTATGGAGACACAAATTTTATTTTATTTTTTTATATTTTGATATGGATTCATTGCATACCCAAAAAAGAAAAAAAAGAAGAAGAAGAAAATATTAACAGCAAAAATTCGAAATAAAACTAATTCACACAAAACGCAAGAAAAAAATCAATCAAACTCCGTTAAATGAAATTGAGTTGTAGAACTCCACAAATTTCAATTTCAATAATAAAAAAAAGAATAAGAACTAAAATTCAAAACAACCAGACCTCAATCAATCCATATAAAATATACAACAAACAATCCTAGTTCACTCCAGAGTTTGTGCACAACAAATCAACATCAACATCGAAGTTCAACGCTATACAAGAAAAATGAAAAATCAAATCATATGAAAGTAAATTTCTCCCTCATAAACCACTGCAGGAAAAACCTCCAGATATTACTCCTACCACGAACTAAAGAGAAGCTAAAAATATTCTCCACCACTACCTGCAAACTAAAATAAGGTTATTTTATTTAGTAAGAGCCAAAAAAATGTGTCAACGATCAAACAAGCAAAGAGAACAAATACAATAAACGCAACGATTGAAACACAAAATACAGAAATCCGAAAATATATATATATATATATATTCGAACCGTCATTTATCATCTCATAAACTAACAACAAACAAATTTCATAAAGTCCAAACTTCGCTCAAGTACAACGGACGGAAAAGAGTTTTACAAAAATCACAAAAGAATTTTCGAACCTTAGGATGCCTTCGGATCACGAAAGAAAAGAACATTCAAACCCAAAATATAAAATCAACCAAAAGAAGAACACAAACACAAAAGTCCACAACAGATTGGAAGCCCCAGAGAAATCAACTTGAAAAAATAATACAAACTATAAGTGGGGAAAAGAAGGAACTAACTTGTTAGAAAAAAGTAGCCCGAAAATACCGAAATCCTAGCATTGGATACCAAGCAAACAACTGAAAAAAAAATTATAAAACAGATTAGTCTATACGTCAAAAAAATAGAATAGAAACAGAAATAGTATACATACTAAAAAGGACCCAATGAAACTTAGAGAGAAAAAGGTGTTAGGCAGTAGCGTGTGAAAATGGAGAAAAAGAAATAAATATCCACCTAAACTGAGGACAAGTGGGTGCATCACTATAACTTGAATTTTTTTTTTTTTTTTTTTTTTTTTTTAGACGGCCTCGTTTTGGCTTCAGAGATGGAAAAAAATTGTGTGTGAAAATGGAAGAGCAGACGGCGTCGTTTTTGCTCCAGAGATGAAAAAAAAATGTTGCTATAGTGTATGAAAACGGAAGAATTTAATGTTCTTTCTACAGTAGTAAAGTGAAACATTGCCCTTTTTATATAATTTTGCTACAGTGTGTGAAAATGGAAGAGTAAATGGCGTCGTTTTTGCTCCAGAGATGGAAAAAAAAAGTTGCTACAGTGTGTGAAAATGGAAGAATCTACCGTTCTTTCTACAATAGCGAGACATTACCTTTTTTATATAGTAGTGATACAATCACCATCCTCAAATTTCTTGATCAAGCACCTTCGCTATCGATCGTGCACCTATGAAAATCAGATTTAGTGAATATATAAAACCTCCATAAGATACAAGTTCGATTTCATACATGATTGTTATGTAGAATAACAAAACTTACATTCGGAGAAAATTAATCATCTCAATCTCAAATTTAGACCATAACTAAAACAAAATTTCAAGTAGTACTATATGAGACTTCGAGTTCATCTCAATCTCAAATCTAGAATCATTGATCCAATTTTAAACCCTACTTTAAGATCATTCACATATTTCGATACTTCAACCTTAAAAGAAGAAATCACAACTTAGGCTTGTAGTGTGTCTTGCCTTAACATTTGTTGATAAACAAGAAATGCAATCTCCAAACTTTAAAAAGTTCAGGTGAACTTGGGGAAAATGAACTTGTTATTATAACATTTATTCTTCAACTTTGCTTGAACTTTCTTGAACTAAGATTTAAGAGACTGTTTCTAACTTGTGAAATGGGGGAAAAACATGAAGAAATGCGTAAAAAAAAAAATGGAGAGGGGGTCGGCCATGGGGGTTTTATAGGGAGAAAATGAGTTAATTTGGTTATAATGAGTGGTCAGCGGAACATATTGTAATTTCCATTTTCTTAACGTAAGAATTTAATCAAAATGTAAAAGATAGACTAAGTGGTATTACTAGAATATAATGACATTTATTTATGCTGTAATGATCGATAATTAGCTCTCTAAACAACCCCTAACTCAATCCAAAATGACATTTTTCGTGTGATTGAAAAATCACGAAATTTATACCTTTTGAATCACTTTTTACCATCATATTAATAAGTGTGAAAGCTGTAGATCGTTCACACTGTCTCTGACACAATCTTTAAATCTCAAATAATTCCAACAATATACATATATGTCAAAATTTTATTAATATTTCTTGTAATGTTTTACAATTCAATCATTTAGTAAAATTAAATAGTTATTTGAACTTGTCTATGTAGTTAGAAACCTTTTTTTTTTTTTTTAAATAGGAGGGAGATACCAATTATCAAACTCTAAATTTTGGACGTGAAAAACATGGGTAGAAACTTGATTATACATTAAAATGAAACAAGAAAATAGGATGACAAAATTCATTGTCCACGAACTGGCCGCATTGCTCCAACTCGAATGGTTAAACGGGACGGTGACAAGAAACGTAATCTCCGTCCCAAAATTTCGATCATGCTTCGAATTTTTTATTTTATTTTTATGTTTTTCAATTTAAATCGTGTTTAATAATGTAAAATAATGATTCTAAACTAAATAATAAATTTAATGGACAATGAATACAGATTTTTTAATCCTCGCCCCATCCCCAACCCGCCTCCCAAAAATTCCCAACGGGGTGAGGGTCATAATGCTGCTTCTAGGTTTAGATCTCTTTATTGCCGTCCCTACAAAAAGTAAATAAATGCTACTATTCACACCACATTTTCTTTTAAGTATAACATATTTAGAGCTTGTTTGGGAGTGATTTTAAGAATTGATTTTTTGACCGTTAAGAGAAAAGCGGGATCCACCTGTGAGAGAAGAAGTGAAATATGACGGCTGGAATAGTGAAATAACAGTCAAAAAATCAATTTTTTGGGTGAAAAAATCGCTCCCAAACAAGCCCTTAATTACATGAAACGTTCATAACCTTTTGTTGCTATCATACTTATTTTTCGAACTTTTTTCGTTGTATTAGGGTAATTCACTAATTAGTACATCTTATCCCCGATATTGACTTCTACCAAAAATGTTGATAAGAGGGAAAACAAAAATTTATTTACCTCATGTGTATTTAATAAGAAAAATATTTCAAAATTATGTTTAATACTTGTCCATCATTTTAAAGTACGATAACAAAATCTTTTGATGAAAAAAATTAAAGACAAGATTTGCTAATTGATTAAGGGTTAATGATAAGAATGTGATGAAAAATTAAGAACATAAATATAACAATCAATAAAAATTAAGGGTTAATGATGCAATTAAAATGGGATGTATTTAAAAAAACGCGGCAAATATAACTGCCCTTTATCTTAAATAAAAATCCAAGGAAAGAAAAAATACATGAAATTTAAAATTTGGAGATAAAACAAGAATCAAGCCAAGTACAAGCACATAGGCTTGCCGAACTCAACTGCATTTCGGTGTCCCACGTTATCCATCCACTTCAATCGATACAATGCACATTCCCTCAAAAGAATTTGCGTGCCTCTTGGTAATGGCATAAGCTCATCTTTAATTTATTTTTCCCTTTTTATCTTAACCATTTTTTCGGTAAACTTCCAGTCAAGGATTTAGGTTGAATTTGATAGAAAAAATTTCGTTGTCTGAATAGAGTTAGTATCCGATGTAATTATCTCGTTATCACTATTATCAAATTTTGATTCATCACTATAATTTTGAGGCGAAAAACACAATTTTTGTGGAACAAATTTTTTGATTGCAAGTTAGACTTTATTACAAAAATTTTGACACTTCAAAATTATAATCAATGGCAATGGGGAGGGTTAGGAGCAGGGCCGACCCATTGGGCATTTTCTCACCCCATTACTCATTCAAGGCAGGGCGGGCAATTGTCCCATTTATGTACCTATTTATTTTTTATTTTTATAATTTTTAATAATTCATTTTATTAACCCCCATTTATTCAAGTAAGACGATAATATAGTTATTAAAATTTTTAAGTAATTAATTTAATTTTAAAATTTAAATTAGTTGAATATATTTGGTAAACTAAGGTTTTTATTGTTTAACATATTTTTTAGATAATCTTAGCCCTTGTTTGATATCCATTCATTTTTTTCTCTTTTCTTTTCAAACATACATTTTTCAATAAAATAATATTACAAGCAAAACTAAAATTTTATCTTAATTCTTATCCACACATTCTTCATCAAATAATTATTTCAAAATGCATTCTCATTTAAATAAAAAAAAAAAAAGGAAACAAATAGGGGTTTAGCTGTCATATTCTATTAGAATTCATGCAATTTCGGAAAGTTTTTCATTTAAATTATTTAATTCTCAAAAAAAAAAATTTTAAATGTAGCGGGTAGGACCTTGACCCGATTACCCGATTAAGCGGTGCCGTACAAGTATTGGGTTTAACGGATATTTTTGACATTTCAAAATTTGTTCGAAGTTGACTTGTTGACCCAAAACACATAGAATATAATTTTTTAATAAAAAAAATTTAACGAATACCATCCCCCAAACAATTAAAGCGTATTTATGATGTATAATTTAACGCGCGTGAATCAATCTGTGTCGAACTAGATCAAGTTGAGCCAACTCCACTCAATTTAAGTTTCTAACCTCGTGACTTCTAATATTGAACTATGTTCATTGAAATATTTGAAGATAGTCTTATATAAATTTTCTTAACAATAAATCTTAATATTTAAATTTCTAAGAATGTAACAAACGGAATGTTATTATTAAAATTCAATGCCTAGCTCAAGAGGTACTGATGATGACCTGGGTTCGAGGTTCTTTTTGATAGGAGAGGTGAAATCCTTTGATCCCATTTTTAAGTCAGTGAATAACAAAATAAAAATAGAATATTATTATTTACAAAAACAAAATTTCAATTTTACAACGTAAATGGTACAATCAAAAGTCTGGTGGTCAAAATAAAATTCAGGGTAAAGTTCAGTGATCTCATTGACAAAATTGACCCATTCTAACTCTGTCCTCGTTGGCGTTTTTGGACAGCAGTTGGAACTTACCAAAATCCATGTCCTTGCAATTATAATAATAATAATAATAATAAAAGTGGAATCTCAACTTTGAGGGCCCTACTGTCCCGTCTCTAAAACTTTATGAGAGAGGTAACTCGCAGGATGTGTACTAACAGGTCAGAAAACAAGAACGGTCTGTACACTTTGCCTACAAGAAGTCCAATTTTATATCTCATGAATCGAACCTCCACACTGCGACTGTGAATTACGAGTGATATAACTTTAATCCTGTCCTTTGCATCACTGGACCATGTCGGGTATAATAATAATAATAAACTAGGCAGGCGGTGGGTAGAAAGTGATAGGAATACAAGGAAACTGGTTCACAGTTTTCCTACATCTTATTCTCTCTCTCTCTCTCTCTAAAAGTTACGCGTTTCTCATGAATTCACTTAATTTGGTCAAATTATTCATTTGTTCAACCTCTAATTATTCGACATTTNTCTCTAAAAGTTACGCGTTTCTCATGAATTCACTTAATTTGGTCAAATTATTCATTTGTTCAACCTCTAATTATTCGACATTTTATGTAAATTATCTTTTGCAAGATTCAAATTGAGGTAGGGTTTTTGGGAATTGGTGATTGAACTATGGGATTGGGTGATGCGGATCTTCTGGATGATGGTGATAGGGGTGGGGGCAAGGCGGAATCGGCGGTTGTTTCGTGCTCAATTTGCTCAGAGGGGGTGACTGATAATGTGGCTAGATCCTGGGCTAAGCTTAAATGCGGCCATCAATTTCATCTTGGTGAGTCTAAAATTTTCAACACATTTGGAAATGATTGAGATTTGACCAAATTTGTCTCTGGATGTAATTGAAGATTTTGAATTTAACTTTTGTTTTAATAGAATTTAGATGAAGAATTTTGTTCAATTCTGGCTGAAATTCTTGGTTTTCATGCTGTGGGTTTATTTACTAGGTTTTGAATTGCGGAGATTTAGACTTGACCATTTTCTAAGTTTAGCATCTGGATGCAAAATTCAGGATGAATGAATGATTGGAATTGGGTGGTAAGACGATCAAGTTGTAGGATGTTGACCCTGCCTAGTCGTGTTGATTAGGTTAATTGGGAGTTTGGGAGGTTTGTATTATGTAGAAATACATGCTTCGTGGAGTGTATAATTGACGTTGCTAGTGATAAATTGAAATTGTTGAAGTAGTAAGGCAAGTGTTCAATTTTGTCTTCCATTGGCTTTATGGATGAAATTTCAGGTTTTTGCGTTAGGGATCTTCTAACATCCACTGAATGAAGGTGCAGTTTATTCTGACGCTGTGCATGCCAATGACATTGGCATAATAATTTATTTATTTTTGCTTGAAATTGAATGACCTTACAGTTCATAGGTGCAATTACTGCTCCACGTGACAGTAAAATTTGAATTGAAAATTAATTAAAGAAGTGGAAGCAGATTCATCACGTTAACTAGACCTTTATTTTTTTTTCACGATTGGTGACGATAATTTCATGCAAACTGTTCATTTTCACTTCATTGAACTGGTTGAAGCAATCAATGGTTTTTTGCTATAGCATGTATGTGATCAAACCTCATAAGATCCAACGAATATTAAAAAGACTCTTTCCTTGGCGATGGGAGCACTGAGTTCCGTAAAGCGAGAGTGATGGCATTGAGATTGCTTTAACTTCGGTGATTGGAAGGAGTTCTCACTAGACCTCAAGTATTGATGTTCTGAAAGGAGAAGGAGGCTGAATTTGTTGGAAGTCTGGAGCTCCCTGAGACAAGCAATGTAATTAGGAGTTTAGTGCTAGGCTAACGTGTGAATTATGCTCTAACGTACAAAGTCTGCTAGAATTGATTTGGAATAGGAGAGGAAGAAAGAGACTGTCATGAATGTTCACCTTTGAGTAAAAGGAGAAGGAAAGAACCCGAGAAAGTAGCTGCTTCTGTTTTCACATTTTATCTCTAATTAAGTGCTTGTTTGGGATAGCTTAAAAATTTGCTAAAAAGTTAAGGTCAAAGTCAACGATTATTTTCAACCACGCATTTTATGGGACCCACAATTTTTATCAATTTTTTAACCACATATTTAATGTTCTTCTAGCAAAATCCGCCAAAACTTTTATTAAAAGCTTTGTCAAATAACGCCTTAAAAAATGATTGTGAAATTTTTGCTAAACTACTAAAATGCATGTATTTTTGTTGGAGGCTTTTGTAGGGGGGTGGGGATGGGGGTTAAGATAAGCTTGCATATTGCATCATATTATGTTTCACATTTTGGTTTTCTCTTTCAACTCTATCCTTCACGTGCTGCTGTACAGTCACCATTTGCTTCAGTGTTTCTGTCATCGTTTAGAGAGACAGGTTACTCCTTATGTACCACATAACTAATCGGCTATAGATTGAATAGAAATTGGTAAATATGTAGTCATATCAAAGTGTTGTTTTGTTTATGGTAAATTCTTTACATACAAATTTCATGTTTGATGAAGGGTCAAATAAAGAAGCAGAATGGATTTTATACTTTCAAAGGAGTACAAGGATGCTAAACTCAATGCACCCCAAAAGAATAATATCAGTATTTATGTCAATTGATATGATTGAGACGGTATCTTTTATTTTATTTTTTTGGGAACAACAGTGATCAAGTTTGTCTCTAGAAACAAACATGTGTATTTCACTTGAATTAATAATTATGAAATGACCATGATTAGCACTATGTGCTCCTGCACCTCTGCTAGTGAGGCAACTACCTTTTGGATTGCCATTCGAACTATTTTAAGCATCTATTTCTCCATGTTAGTATCTTGTTACCACCAGATATGGGAATATTATATTGTGAGGTTAGTTTATATCTTCAGTTAGTTTCCATGTCCACCCCTGAATGAGGCTGTCATTTAAAAGCAGAGTATCAGCTGGTCTACTTTACATGATATGGTTGGTTTTTTAAAGTACTGACTGCATGTGTTGCTTCAATCATGCTTACTAATACTGTGGTTTTCCATATGAGTTGGCTATTCTCACCTTCCCTGTCCACCATTAAATGACCTCAAGGGCTGTTTATACAAGATATAACCCCAATCCTCGAATGGAAAACCTATACAATTCTATTCTCATATCAATCCTTAACTAAATAAGGAATATAAGATTGATAGAATAGAAGTTAAAATAGATCACCTATTTAACTCATCTCCTTTGGAAACTTTGAAGAAATTGAACTGACTGTCAATGCTATGGCATCAAGTTTGTTCATAGAGTTATTCAAGAATGTTGTGTGAAATAGATAATTAAAGCAAGCTTAAGTTTTTCATTAATAGAGTTTTCCAAAGCATTTGTAAATCTGGTGCCTTTATCATAAATCATAAGTGTTCTCTTCTTTCTGAAATTAGCCTTTTCATTGACAGAGTTTTCTAAATTCAATGTAAATTGGATTAAAAATTCTTTTATGAGAAATTTATTAACTTGCTACAAAGATGGTCCTCAAATGATTTCTCATTTACAATAGCTTTTATCTTGAAACTATTAGCACCTAAGTACTGTCACCACTGAAAAGGTTCAGGAGAGATAACTCTTAGACTCCTTTTTGAAAATCAATCTCTAAAGATGATCATTAATGTGAGTGTTCACCAATAATTTTAGCCATTGGTTCTGTTTACACTGCATAAAAAACTTGTCATTGGTGTTAAAATGAAAATGATTCATAGAGATAAATAGTACCGAACCAAGAGAATAATATGTCACGGCTTGAGTTTTTATACTAGTAGCTGCAAAAAACTTTGATGCTGAACAAATGAGATTGTGCTTATCTTTGATATTCTTTCTTATTTTTTCCTCTCTTTTGATTTTACAAAAAATGGTAGTCGTTACTAGAAAAATGAAATTTTTTATTGCTCATCTGCCATTTCAAGTTAACATACCATGCACGTTCCTGGCACGTTTGGTGCTTCGGATTGCGATGTTATTTGAATTTAGACTCATTTTGCTTGACTGGGAAGTCAAACAACTATATGCATTTTATTCTGATTGTTTCCTAAATTTTGACTACTGTGCACGGACAACATTTCTCAAGCATTGGAATCCTCAATTTCTTCTACTCATGAAATTCTGTTATTGCTTAGAATTGACATTTACCGCACATTTTATTCCTTTCTTCATAATTATATTTTAGCGAGTTGTTAGCATACTTTGTTTCTCACTATATTATATTACGTTTATGATCTGTGTAGATTGCATAGGTTCGGCATTTAACATGAAGGGAGCAATGCAGTGTCCCAACTGTCAAAAAATTGAGGAAGGTCAATGGCTTTATGCCAAAGGTAGTCGTCCATCGCCTGAATATAGCATGGATGACTGGGCCCATGATGAGGATCTATATGATCTAAGCTATTATGAAACGGTAATAGTAAAAAAATCTCTAAATCTTATGAGGATTTTCTTTGTTATTTGGCTTCATGTACTGGCAGCCATATGTTTGATTTCTGCTTTATTATCTTTCTGTGTCACATTTGCTACCTTCAATTCATTGCTTGATCGAAATAATTTACTGTAGGCTTTCAAAAGAATATGATTGAAGAGATTATTGTGTTTGTTGGAATATGGTATATGCTTTTGCATCTGATTTCCCATAAAGTTTAAATTTTCTTTCTTAAGCTTATTTGGGTGCCCCATTGACGGCTGTACCATGTCCCTTTTTTGCATCATCAATTCCTTGTTATATGAATGTAAGCCTATTGGGTTTTATTGTCTTGGCCGCTTCTTAGACCAATTTTCATGTGTCTATATTCAACACACTGCATAATCTAGCCTTGTCAGTTTGTATCACTTCCTACTCGTCCTTCTGTATTTGTGTGGAGAAAAGTAATGTTGTACTTAACCTTATCATAATTCATATATTGGCTTTTATGAACTCTTATTATCTGATAGATTCTTGAGTGACATTTGTGGATCTCTTTGCCTGGACTGACAGCTATGTTATAGTTCAAGAATCAAGAATGTTAAGGCCTTTTGTTTGGCCTACATTTTAGTATCTTTAGTGCTGGGTCATACGGAGTTATGGAACAGCGAAAAAGCATACACGATGATGTTGCTGAACCTGATTTATTGAGAATAAGGCTCAGATGCTCGTTATTGCTTTTATTTTCTACATTTTTTCTTCCGTTCAATATGTCATGACTATTTTGAGCAGTGTTATATTCATTGAGCTGATACTTGGAATGCTAATTTACTCCCTTAGTTTTTAATTGGGCATTCCCTTTCCATTTGAGCCACTTCATTCAAAACTATTTCCATTTTCTAGATGCTCTTCAACTCCTTACCTAAATTTCCCTTGTGCCCTTATAAAAATAATTAACATCTTACTATAGAAATAACATTTCATCCATGTGTACACAGATTCACGCTTATACTTAGGTTGCATGCAAATGAGGCAACATGAATTTCACCGTCTTTGATGCCTATGGTTTTAGGAGATGGTGAGGCAGGATTTACTGCAGGCATTACTGGTGGCAGTAGCTGTAGACACCCCTTTTTTTTTTAATAGTTTTAGGTTCACCATTTATGTTTATTGCACAAGGAAGCTCACATGTACTGCAAGCTACTCTTTTTTTGGGGCGTGTTGGGTTTCTTTTCGTTTTTTTTTTTTTTTTTTTTTTTTTGGGGGGGGGGGGGGGGGGGGGGGGGGGGGGGGGGGGCTTTTACTTTTTGATGGCATTGTGATTTACACATTACTATTATAGGTGCTAACTAGATGGATCTCACGTACTTCATTGTACATTTACTGTTATCCTTAATTGTGTAGTTTTGCATTACACATTTATCCCTTTTTTTTTGCTTTGCCTTGTAAGAATGGTTAGTTAACTCCAGCCATTTGTGTACTGTATAACTGAGGAATTAATACAGTGATGATGCACTTAGGATAGTTGCGTTGGATACTATCTTTCCGGCCATGACAAAACTCAAATTTTTTTATGGTTACAAATTTGTTGCAGTACTCCTATTTATCCTAGATTTTCATGAACTTCGAATGCTGTCTTTGTTCTCTACTTATGTTCTCATTTCAGTCTGGATGTATTGCTCACTAGGGGTGGGCGTGGGTCGGTTCGGTTCGGTTCTCTTTAGAACCGAGAGAACCGAACTGAACAAAAATTTTTGGGTATCTAGTAAATGGAACCGTCGGGTCCAAATATAATTATGGAACCGTTCGGGTTCGGTTCCGTTCGGTTCGGTTCTGTACTATAATTAAATTTTTTAACATTTATAACAACATTATAGAAAAACAACTAATGATATATTCAATGGTTTTGGAATGTTAGAGACTAGTAAACTACCTTGTTCAAATGATTGCTACGGTCAAAGTTTCGATCGGCGGAGGTTACAACTTCAATCAGAGGTCACAGTGTCGGTCGACGATTGTATAGGTTTTGAAATATTAGCGAGGCTGCGAGTGTGAGTACGAGAGTTAAGACAACGTTATGCATTTTAGTGTAGGTATTTAAGGTTATTTAGTGGATTGGATCTTGTTGGGCTAAAAAATGAAACAATAAAAAGGGTAATTTGGCCAAAAATTAAATAATTAGAAATGAAACAAATTATTGGGCCAAAAATTTGGATTTAGAAATTGCTAATTTGTTTAGAAAAAATTAAAATTAAAATAATTTAATTTACTCAATATAAAAAAAAATAGAAAGATTCGGTTCTTATTCGGTTCTTGGTCTAGAACCGAGAACAGAATCGTACCCGTCGGTTCTCAATTCAGATACCCGTTCGGATATTTAATTTGATAAGAACCGTCGGGTTTGGTTCAATCGGTTCGGTTCGGTTCGGGAGATTTGCCCAACCCAATTGCTCACTGTAAATTTTTAGCTTTCATAGCTGGTTGTGCGTGGCAAAAAGCTGACAACTTAGGTTATCAGTTTTCACTCATCAATTTAGTTTCTCAGAACTTGTGAATTGTTTTTGCAGTCATTTGGAGTTCATTGGTGTCCATTCGCGGGATTAACTCGGCTTCCTTCAACGTTTGAGTAAGGCTTATTTTACCTCATGTTAAATTTTAAGTTCTAACATATAACTTATTTACTACTACCTAAGTTCGCAGATATTTTTTTGAATAAGTTTCTTTATAGATGTTTCGACGTAAATGATCTTGTATCATTTATCATTCTCATTTTGAAGTTGTTCTCAGTGATTTCTTTTCCATCTGCCACTGGGTACACTGCAGATTTTTTAACTTCACGATTTTGAAATGTAGGTGTCATTTTATTAGTGGCTCATCTTCATGTTTTCACAGCCTTATAACGACTCTGCATTCACAAATTTAACCTCATTGCAAGAAATGTTGTTGCCTTGAGGACACATTGATACAAGTGTGTTACGAAATGGAGGTTAGGTACATAGTTCTTTGTGATGTTCCTTAATGGCACCCTTGTCAACATTTTTCTCTTTTCTTTCTTAATGTAGTCAGTCAATAATATAAAAATTACAGGTATAATTAATGCATAGAAGTGTAAGAATGATAGATATCATTAATTCATCGAAGTTTGATCTTAGGTTGTATTAATAGATATGGGATGTGCTTAAGCTCATCTCGTGAGCTCAAAATGCATTCTGATAGTTGTGTGTATATATATGTAATGTGAGTCTATTTTCTTTTTCTCTAAGGGAAGCTTGATTGATGGAGGGAGGGGACTCTCAAAATTATCCATCCATTCTTTGTTTTTCCTGCTGTTCTTTTCATGATCCGAGTATGGGAAAAGAATATGGTTCCACTGGTATGGATTCTCTTTAAGCTGGACAACTTAAAATGGTCATCTCCGATTAGCAGAGTCTTGATGTGTGTATTTTGTATGGAAAGGAAATTGTATCTAATCAGCTTGTATGCTGCCTAATAGAAACTTGAACACTTCAACACTGCCTTTTGGTTGGTGGACCTCTGTCAATCAAATTATTCTACACCTTTGGAGTAGCAATTAAGGCATGAACTAGTCAAGCTTAGATGTTTAAATCAGGTCAGCAATTTTTTAAGTCATAATTGTGGTCAGCTTGAATATAGATTGCACTAATACTGCAAGTCATACGGGTAATGTCTTCCCATGCATTGCCAATTAATTTTAGGTTGAACGTGCTAACACAGTCTTGGAAATGGGCTTCGGGGCTAGGCTTAGTTTCTCTTTTGGTCTAGTACTTGCTTCTCCCTCTTCACTCAGTCGGAATATTATTTCTTAATGTCCAAACTCATAATGCAGTAATCTTATCGAGCTCCAAGTTACAAGGTAGCACTACCACTGCAAGTTATACAGTGAGACATGCTACCTTTTGTACAATGCAGATATGCTGGTTTATATTTGGGACACAAGGTTCATGAAAAAAGTATGAAACCAATCGGAATGGCAATGTTCCTTATTGTGGAATATAATTTTGACATGGACAGATCTGAAGGCTGACTGCTTATTTTGTGATCAATTGTTGCTTATTCTTTTTCTTGTTATTGGTTCTAGTGTAAAAAAACTCTATCAGCTACCTAGGATTTGTTAAGTATATGGTTACAACTTACAATCAAATAACATAATCACCAAGGAAAGAAAAATGAGAGAGAGAGTGAGAGAGAGAGGAAATGGTTGTCTAGCACGCTCCTTTATATTTTTTGAATTTTCTGTAGTTAATCTCATCGATATTAATTTTTCTTCTGTTCTACTAGCTATCCCACTAACCGTGCTTCATTTTGTTTTCTTCATATCCCTCTGTCTTCACAGTGAAGGAGAATTTTCATCAAGTGCATGTAAGATTTTCATCCTTTTATATTATGTAGCAAGGTTTACATCTAGCTTCAGTAACTTTACGAGTTTTCATTGTTTAATAGATCATGATCTAGGACAACATGCTATCTCTGCCGAACATACAGCTGTATCATCTATGGCTCATCCGTGCCCTTATATTGCATACTTTGGACCAATTCATCCATCTTCAACCTCTAGTGGAACTATATCGGATGGATCTAATTTTAATAATCAGTGGAGTGCCCATTCAGTTCCAGGTGAGATACCCAGTTCTTATGCTTTCCCCACCATGGATGTAAATTATCACAGTTGGGAGCACCACACCTCTCCTTTTGCTACAAGCAGCCGCATTGCTGGTGCAGATCAATCCTTGATGCCATCTGTGACTCAGAGAACAGCTAGGACAAGTTCTGATATCCCAAGACCTGGATCCGTCATGCACCCATTATTTGTTGGTCACAGGTTAGTTCGTGATGAACCCATCACTGATTGAACCCTTGCTTTTGATAAAATCAGGCAAATCTACGAGTTCAGCTTCCAGGTGGCTTTCACAACTGCCTCAATACTCTTATAAGTTTTTATATTTGCGTAACGCTGACATGTACAATAACAGTTCCGGTACTAGAACGCCCAGTTCTAACTCATCAATGGTTCCTCATTACCCCGGTAGTGTGGCTCGGGCACGTGACAGGGTTCAGGCTCTTCATGGATCTTTTCAGCAACCCAGTAGTAGCCCAGCTGCAAGCACACCTCCTATACCTACCTCTCGAAGATCCAACAGCCATAGGGGTTTGCCACAGGTTGCTCCTGTAGCTTCACCATCGGATCAATCCGGCTGCTTTTACTATTTCTCGTCAGGATCATCTGGAAGAACTGTACAAGAAACGGAAAATCATGTTCCTAATCGCTTTCATTCTTGGAATCGAGAACACTTTCCTTCCTTCTCATTAAACCAGGTTGACAGAGATCCCGTTTGGGGGCCATTCCATCCTGCCGGCAGTGGATCTGATACTGGATACAGATCTGGGAGTTTCCACCAGAGACATGGATCTGAGAGAATGCCATCTCAAAATCGGTCATAGACAATTTTCTTCTTGTGATGAAAACTGTGAGTACTATGACTGAAACCCGGGTTCTATATGTTTGAGAAATGATCTGTAATGTTGAAGTTGCTAAGAACACCAGGCCTGAAACTATTGTGTGGCCTTGAAATTAAGGCTTTTTACTGCCACAAAGGTTGTGTGATGGACTCTGGCTTCTCTCTTGTTTCTCTGACCTGGGGATAATAATATTCATGTTTATAGCAAGAGCTGATGTTTGAACTAATTTATCTTCACCTGATCCAACTGGGGATTGTGATATTTGTATGTTGAATTTCCTATGTTATAATTTGCAGGTTTACTTACAATAGGGTTCCAGGAACTGCAAGCTGTGGAAGTAAATTTGGTTTCTAAACTTTTTTGGAGAGGTTATCTTTTCCATTTTTACCTTATAGAAGTTACTTATTTTGACAGTAAAAATGAGTTAATTCTCAAAATAAATTGCTTATTTTTAAAATTGTGACCAACAAAAATATTTGTTTGCATATTATGTAATTGAAATGTTCTTTTGTCGGATAAGTCTTTGAATTTTTAATATGAATGAATTTGACTTGTCATTTTTTGTCTTAAGCTACTAAAAAATTTCAATCAATTTCATTTCGTAATTTAAAATTAAACTGTAACAGCTTTGTTGGGGC